GCGCGCCTTTCTTCCTCGGAAGAGAACGGGTCCCCGAGGAAGAGAGGGGGAGTCACGTTTATAAATTAACTCGCCCGAAAGGTCCGCCAGCTAAGAAAGAGTGGGAAAAGGCGGAGAGGCGTTCCCGTGCGTTTTGTTTCATGCTAATCCATTATGTAAATGCGTAAGTCCTGGCAACAGGGCCCACAAAAGAGCAGCCCTGTCAGGTCAACAAAGCCGCCCCGTCTGGGGCTAGTAAGTTTCAGTAGCCGAGCAAATTCCCGCCCCCCCCGGGGACTGCGGGATGATGGATGGGACGGGACAGACATTCATCTTACCTGGAAGATGACAGGGCCCGGGGAGTAGCAGGGGACGGGGCCGCCCGCCCCCCTCACCCGCCGCGGCTGCAGCCGTTCACCGAGTCCCCGCCGCCGCCTCGCCCCGACCCGCTGCCATTGCTTGTTGGTGCCGCAGAGGCTCCTGCTCCAGCGCTGTCGCTCCGGCTGCAGGGGGAAGCTTTCACCTCTGTGAGAAACTGGGAGCGGGGGTGGGGGGAAGCAATGCTGGAAAAGTGGTTTGTTAGAGCATCTTCCCCCAAAAGCAGACTCCCAAGCTGCCAACGTGCCTGATCTGTCTTCTTGCAGGTTGTGGATGCTCAGGCAAACACCGTGCCATACGCAATGCCAAGTACAAAACAGGGAAGCAGGGAGAGGAGTGCTAGTGCACAGGGAAGATGAGGCTTATCAATGAGCCAAAGCAAGTTTTCCATTCATCAGTGAAGAAAATATTTCAGGGGAGCGGGTTACCTCACCGCTCACCAACAAGAAATGACGGCTGGTATTGCCTTCCTATTTCCTCCTGCTCAGAGCAGAGAGCAGCTTCCTGGGGAACTAAAGATTGTCCTCACCTTGCTTGAGAGAGAGGCCCACAGTAACCTTGTTTGGTCACTGATTACAGGCCAGAGCCCCAGCACTTCTTACCGGGGTGATCGGGCATTTGGGATTTTCTCTGGAGAGTCTCAGCCAAGTTTTTACACAACAGAGGCTTAGCCCTCTCAAGCCCCCTACTTCAGATCACATCACTTTCAAAAGAGAAAATACCTTATAGACGTGGCTCATGATCATCCCTGTGGATTAGCCACCAGCCACACATAATTATATAACTAAAACAGCATCTTTACAAATCCAGATGCTTAAATGTATTTGGAAGGTTTGAAGCTTTTGCTTATGCTTACTAGTAAATAAAAGCAGGGGGAGGAGAGGGAGCTTTTCTCATTTTTAACTAGTGCATTATTTTTTAAGGGACAGGGAAACAAGAAAAGACTAAAACCCCTCATCATGATAAAGGGTCTCACCCGTTTGGTGATGGTCCCAGCAGCTGGTCCAGAGCTGAAGCACAATGCCACAGCCAGAAGGTTATTTAAGACTCCACAGAAAGTCCTGGCACAGAAAGGTTCCCTCCTGCGAGGATAAGCACTGCTCCTGCCCTGTGCTGCCATCTGAAGACCCCCTCCTCCCCTTTCCCAAAGCTGTCAAGGGAGTGTCTGGATGGTCTTTGTTGAAATAGGTGAGGGACGCCTCTCCAAAGGTTCGGGTCCCCCCCCCCCCCCCCAAAGGAAGGTAGAGGAATTCAGCTGAACTCCCTGGCAGAAACAGACATTTCCCAACAGGATCTTTTACTTGGAGGCATCCTTTGTTTGCTTTCTTAATGCCAGTTACCTTTAATCCCAAAGTCACCAGGGTCCATTTCAAGTAAATCCAGAAAGGAAACCAGGATGAAACCAAAGAAGAGGAATTGCAATGAGGAGACTCAAAGTCTTACCACATGGGAGGGTTTCAAAGAAATAAGGTGAGAGGTGTGACATTTCTGCAGCGCAATTTCTTCATACCTGAGGCACTAAGGAGCCTCCTCTCCTCCCCGCTCCCCAAATCACTCGCTCACTCTCAGGCCCGGAAACCCCAACGGAACAAGCACAAAAGGCAGCAGACGGGTCTGTGAAACAGCTTCGCTCCTCCAGCCAACACACATACCCAGTTGCAGCAAGTGAAGTCCACCCAGGTAATGCTTCGCCACTACCTTGCAACTGTTGTGAGCGTTACTGGGTGCAAACCGCTTAATAGAACATATCAGAGTCATTTCTGAATGAAACCATTCAGATTCTTGAAAGGCAACCTGCAACCCAACATTTTCTGCTTTCAAACCTTAAGGGCTGCGCTCCTATTGCTTTCGAACTGCCATGATGCAAAACAAAATTTAGAAAGTATACTTACGATTAGTTTTCCTCTCGTCTGAAGGGGACACACACCACACACACCCCCCCCCCATATTGTAGTGGAAAAATGGCTTCATTGGAGGTGGCTACACTGAAAATACACTTCGTGTCTCAAACACTCTGGCACGTTCTTTATCTTGGGTCACTTGGATAACAACTTTTGTACCTTTAATAAACAAGTTGCAGTGGGATAATCACTTTGAACTATTAAATATAACACAGCAAACACTGAAGTAGTTGTTTGGACTGTTAGCTGCTATAGAATAATTTCATGATAAAACCCATGATTTATTTTCAAGAGTTAGGTGAGATGCAGCAAGAAAGCTGTGAGAGGTAAGAGAATGCAGCCTTTGTTTTGTAGCGCAGATGAGCCACAGCACAAAAACTTGCCAGGCGGGAGGTGTGAGCCAGTTTCCATTACACTGAAACTCTAGTATATTAGATGGATCCTTATGTTATACGCTAGGCATTACTATTTCCATCCTGCCCTCACAGCTGACACAGCAGGGAAAAAGCAGGAAAGACAGGCAACTGGAAGGGTAAGTTCTTGCCTGTCTGAGGAACAGCCCTGGTTTAACAGGCAGGCAAAATGCATTTTTTAAACTGACTGAAGTTAAACCAATGCTGACTTGTGCACATGCTCACCTTCGAGTACAATTTACATTTTACCAAACTTTTCTCAATTACTCAATCTCTACCATAGATTAAGAAACAATTGCAGCTTTAACAAGCTTTCAGGTCAGCTGGGATTGCTGGAACAAGTACAGGTTCATGAATTCAAAGCTTGTTAAGGAGGTCAAGGAGGATAAAAATCCTTGGATAGGGATTTTTGGAGGCTATAATTGGCGAGAAAAGTATTTGAAAAGTAATGCCACTTGGTTTAAGCTGGTGCACCGAAAGAAACGATGGACAGAAAACATGTTTGTGAAGGATGGTTTCAGAGCATCCAAAAGGGCAATTCCAGAGATAAAAAACACACCTTTGTATTCCCATATCCAATCCATTTGAACACTGTACCATTCTTTTCAGCGAGTTACAGCTTCCATTGTAGAGCTGTAAATGACCAGCTCTCTAGAAACAGGATCGTTTCCTTTTTCAGTTTTTGTATTTAACAAAGACTAGGGACAGAACAGACAAAATCTGAAGGAAGAAGGGAACCAGCACGACAATGCATGAAATTGCAGGCAAGTGAAACAACCTCAAAACAAAAGAACCTTTGAACTACGTATCGCTCTCTTCCAGTAGAAGAAACAACATAAATGACTAGAACAAATTTATACTTTGCAAGTGTTCTTTTATTCAAAAATTATTGCATACACATTTACAGCGTCACTTAAGCAGCATATTGAGTGAACTGCAAATATTTACTGTAGCCTTTTCATCTTTGTAGGTTTGCTACTGAGGTCTATCATTTTTTCTTTTTTATTTCCTCTCGATACCTTTGTCTGTTTTGCTAAACTAACAGGCTCCCAAATTATTAACAACAGTTTTCTAACGAACAATGACTGTAAACATAATAAAAAGAGCATGCCATTTTCCCTTTGAAGTTATGAAGTTGGATATTTTTCTGCAATGAAAAATTGATGTTTTTTGACAACTAGACCGAACCATGCTGTATATACAGACAGTGCTTATGACTCGCTAGGAGAATAACGTGTAGATGCATAAAGCGTTCACTTATGATACCTTCAACTCAAATGAACAAAACCACAGAAAAGGTGGGAACAATTCATTACATAGTCCTCATGAGCAAGCAAGAGGCTAGGAAATTAGTATTAACAGTAGCACAGATTGAGATTTAGGAACGACTAACAGATAGGTATTTTGTAATCGTCACCAAAACTATTTTCATCATTTTATCTGATATTAGTAATGTCTCATTTTGTCAGCACTAAACAATTAATACAGTCTCCCCCCAAAAAAAGGAAAAGATTAATTTCTGAATACAAAATGCCTGAACATGCAGAGTAATATTTCTATGGCTTCTGTGGAGGAAATGCAGACAGTTACTGGGCCAGAACTTCCACCTTGATATTGTCCCAGCAAGTACGATACTGATTTTTAAGTCTCTGCTTAATCAGGTGAAGAAGTTTAGGAGTATCCTCATTTGAACACGCTAGTAATATTGCACAGGAAGGGAGATGGGGAGGCGATAACTGGGAGTCAGAAGAGAGACGGAGCACGCAGCATTCAACACAATGTTCCTTCACAGCAAGAGACAGACTTTTCTGTGGAAAGTCTGTGGACCTTTCTGTGGGAA